TCACTACGGAAGTAGGATTGCCCAACCTTCCTTCCGAGGAGTGGCTGGTGGGTTTGAACCGTCAGCCGTCTGGTTAGCAGGCAAGTGACTTAGCCACTATGCTACTTTGGCAGTACTTAATACCATGAATTTGACTGAGAATTCCAAGGCAAGAGCCACAAAGAATTTCAACATTAAAAGTCTGGAAGGTGAAAGGCAACCAGCAGAAGACACAGAAAACAATGTGTCCTGGCAGCCAAATGAGGAACATTTAAGGAACAGAGGTTGGTGGTCTCTGCCAAATAAAATCAGACAGACTCAAAGTGATCAGCACTAAACTTTCAGATTTGTACTACAGCTCAAGCATGACCAAGGTGAAGCTAATAGCATAATTATAGTAGTTTAAGAGAAATCTCATGGAAAAGGACTGAGTATGGACAATGAAGGAAGATAAAAAGAGAAGAGAACTAGAACAGTCTCTGGACACAAAAATGAGATATCTTTTAGAAGGGAGCAATTACAACATGTTTGTATGTTGATGAGAATGGTCCAGTAGAGAGAGACAATCTGGTGTTGCAGGAAAGAAGGGGGAAACTGCTGTAGCAATGCCCTTAAGTAGGAGAGGAGGAAGAATTGAGTGATCGAGTGAGGAGCAGCTGGCCTGAAACCGAACTTGACCATTGCATCTAGAATAACAGAAAGATGGCAGAGCAGGGATGCTGATGCTGGGGATGGATGGCAACCCTATCAACTAAGCTGCACACACCTGCCGAACACCATGCCCAACCCTGTAGAGGTTATGGAGGGACCTGGTAGGAGTCAGTTTTCCTTAGGGTTTTGGCAGGCTCTGAGTAAGCCACCCTAACAATAGCCAGTGCTTCATCTGCTCAGCCCTATTTGTGGACATTTCATGCCCTTCTCAGATTCCACACCCTCCTGCTCTTAGGTCTAGAGAGCATTGCTAGTGTCCTGAGTATAAAGGTTGGTTATGGAAAACAGACATGGGAGACCAACTGCAGAGCTCAGTACTGCATGTTCATATGTGACGTAGACTGTCTGATCTTTTTGAGACCGAAACTTTGGGCCCTCCACCATATAAACTGGGAAAAAGCAGGCATCGGAGAGCCTGTGGTTGTACCCAGGTCTATGCGGGCAGTGGTTCTCCCACACAGCCATCATGCAGTACCTCCATGGATGACTCCCTTGCTCAGGCCATCTTTGTTGTCTGAAGTCAGGAGTAGCTCCACAATACCTCGGTCCTCTAAGGCCTGTGGGGAAAAGAAGGCATGTCAAAGTCTGTCCTTCATCCTCAAAACACCAGCAGTGTTACATAGCCTGGGTGGGGCAGTTGAAGGAGGAAGAGAGAGAATTAGAAATAAAGCATTTACTTCTACAGAAAACTGAGAGACTACCCTGTCTGTCCTGCCACATATACCAAAGATCCAGTAAGCTTGAATTACAGTCATAGCTGGGGCAGAGCAGCTGTAGCATGTTAAGTGACCACTGGCCACTCCTGATCTGGGTACAGTACCTGGTCTAGCAAGCCTGTTCTTCCTTACAGGCCTGCTCAAAAGAACTGCCACCTGGATTCCATAGTGTAAGGACCACAGGGACAGCACCCACTTCAGATCCTTCACCCACACCAGAAACAAGCAAGCAGCCTGTGCCTTCCTGTACCCGACCTGGTTTGGGCTCTTGTTAACAGCAGGGGAAGGCTAGACCAGCCAGTCATGTGACCATGGTATACTGCACCCAACTGATGCTGTAGGATCACATCAAAGGCACCAAGAGGTAGAAGCATACACTTTGCTTGAGGGGTGGTAACTACTATGAACTCTGTTAGCACTTGTTGAGCATTACTACTACTACAGTGGCAGGTCTTCTGCTAATGCTGGGCAACAGGCTGTCCTCCTCAATCTCCACAACTGATATCTTCGTTTTACAGATAAAAAGCCTCAAGGAGGTGAGCTTGTGTGTTATGGAGATACAGAGCTAATGATAGATATAGACCTTACCCAGAGGCAATATGCCTACAGAGCTGTGCCCTGAGACCAAGGCTTTTTGGATTAGGGAACCCAGCAAAGGGGATCTTCCTATAACTGTCCTTGCAGATATTAGACTAGAACTGCTTACTTCAGCTGAATTTGTTAGCAAATAGGGGAGGAAGAGAGACAATCTAGTGGGTGAATGTCTCTCATGTCTAACCCCAGTTCCCAATAAGGAAAAAACAGAGGGGCTGTCACCCTCAGGAACAATTTAAGCTATAGGAATTTAGACCATGAGAACAGGTGAGGTTTTTATCAAAAGCTCTGGGCCTCACATGTCACAAGTCATGCATTCATACTTAACACACATTTACTTAGGTTCCTACCATACATATAACAGTACCAAGTGAATTGAAAGGGGATAAACATGGATAACCATCTTCACTATTTATATGTGAGTTTTACAGACATTTATTTATTGACTCCACATTAATTAAGTAAAGGATAATGAGTATTTACTGAGTAGCACCAATATACCAAGCACTGTGACAGCATCCAATTCTCACAGGAAACTTAGAAAAAGTTTTCTTATCACTTGACTGCTAACCAGAAGGCTGGCAGTTCAAACCCACCAGCCACTCCTATCTACTCCATAGTGATACTGCCTCGGAAACCCAGGGAGGGGTCGCTATGAGTCGGGTCCAATTCCACGGCAAATAACAACAACAACGACTTTGCAGAGGAGGAAACTAAAATTTGGAAAGGTGAGACACCCTGCCCAAGGTCATCCTATGCTGTGTTCACAGCCACTCAGCATCACAAGAAATGCTCACAGCAAATCTGGAGGGGCCACCTGGTGGTAAGAGCTGGGTGCTGTGTCTCCCATTGCCCTATGCCTCACACAACAGTCCTTCCCACCAGACACCAGGGAGCCAGGACTGTGCAGAAGATGTCCCTGAAGGAGCTGCAAGCTCTCTTCTTACACAACAATGTACTCCTTTACAGCAGCTAAGTAAGTAAACAGTGGTTCAAGTTCCAGGGCCCCAGGGGTCATACACAAGTACTAGGTGTGGTGGAGTATCATGTCCATCTAGGTCTGGCTGGGACTAAAGATGGAAAAGGGGCTGGAAGTGTGTGCTTCTTGAGGTCCAGTGGCTGAGATTGAGCTATTGGAACAGGACTCTCCCTTCCCAGTTCAGCAGTGACACCTTTCCTGGAGACACCCTTGCTCCTATAAAGAGTGCTTTCCAGAGGTAAGGAGAAGGAAGGGAGAATGGCAAGGATCTTATAAGCTGCAGATACCTACAAGTCACCTGACTGAAAAGAAAATCTGTATGTGACAAGTAACAGATACTGCCCAAGCATCAAGGCCAAAGCTACAGCAGCTTTAAGTTGGGTGCAATGTCTGAGGTTAATAAACATTTTAGCGACTCATTCTGAAGCTGACCCTCCAAAGTTCTCCCAAATGAATTCTCCAGACTCTATCCAAGTCTGATTTATGGATGACTCCCATAATATTCACAATTCAAAGGGTCAAGTACTTCTCAGGACCACTCCATAGGAAAGGAAACAGAGGCTCAAAAATTAAGTCATTTCTTCCAGGTCACAGCTATTTAGTGACTGGAACCAGATTTGAATATCAAACCTATTCTTTACATCACTACCTGTCTCTGCCCTCCTCTAATCTGACTGATATCATATTAAATCAGTGGTTCTCAAGCTCAGTCTCATATTGGACTCAGATATGTGAGCACCATCCAGAGATCCTGATTTCACTGGCACACTAATGGGCACAAAAAGTTTTAAAAGCCCAATGATGCCAATATGGAGTCATGAAAGGAACTACCACTTTAGACACTGGTGCCCCATCAGGAACCCTCCTCTAATGTCTCCACTCCATTAGATCAGATATTTATTTATTTATTCATTTATTTTTTATTGTGATTTGGGTGAAAATTTACAGCACAAATACACTTTCTATACAAGAGTTCACATACACTTTGTCTCATGACATTGACCACAGTTTACCACACTGCAACAAACAATGTAACCAACAAAGAAAATGTCCTTCCATAGTTGTCCTCCCACTTCCTCCCCATAGTTACCTCTTCCCAGTATCCATCCCTGCATGCACTCCTGCCCCCTGAGCTGTCACCCTGTGCATAAGCAGCCCTTCCTACTCCCATGATTGTTCTCTCCAAGGAGTGTATCTACCTGAGATAAATGTTCAACTCATATGCATGTCTATTGTTTGGCTGGAAACCACAGGTGTGGGTTCAATTCCAGACCTGAAGGGTAGCTAGGGGCCATAGGCTCAGTGTGGTTCCACCAGTTCTATCAGACCAGCAAACCTGGTCCCCCCCCCCTTCTTTTTTTCAAAATGATTTTGAGTTTTGTTCCACATTGTTCTCCCTCTCTATCAAGGATCTCCTACATAGATCCTCTCCCAAAAGATTGACAGTAGTAGCCGGGCACTATCTAATTCTTCTGGTCTCATAGTTGTATAGGCTGCAGATCAGATGGTGTGCCAGTTGCTAGGACTAATTGTTTCCATGAATTTTTGGTTTTCTTCATTCTTCTTTGCTCTGGATGAGAAGAGACCCATCATTGGATCTAGATGGCAGCTTGCAACCTTATAAGATCCCAGTCACTACTCCCCACAGTAAGAGGTGGAACAATGTTTTGTGTAGTATGTTATGCCAATTAAGCTTGATGTCCCCTGCTACTATGGTCCTGAGCCCACAGTTCACTCGGTCCCTCTGGGTAGCTGGCTGTGACCAAGCAGCAACTACAACCTTGCCTCTTGTCAGCTCCACTATACACCTGGGAATTCAGATAATACACATAAAGTTACAGGACCAGTGTCTGCCAACCCTATACATGTTCTTGGTTACACTCCCCACTTCATAGATATAACTAATATTTCAGCCTGTCCACCAATCTATCCACCCATATATCCATGTCTCCCTTCACTGACAATGCAGTACTATATGTGCAAAAGGGTTCATCTTTGTTGTCTGTATGTCCCATGTACCTCTCTATGACTTTCTCTTCCTCAATGTCACTATATTGATCACTCACATTTTGTACATTGCCCTTCTCATCACCCAAATCAACACTTATCTCTATCTATCTAACAGTGTTCCATCCCCTTCCCTTCCACCCCTGGTAACCAACAAAGAAAATGTCCTTCCATAGATAAACGTTTCCTTGACTTTTACAATAACAGACTAATACAATATCTCTCCTTTTGTGAGAGATCATCCACGTTATATGGTGTTTTGCAGATTCTACATTATTCTTTAGGGTTGCATAGTATTCCATTGTGTGTATGTACCATTCCTCAGTTGATGGACATTTAGGCTGTTTCCATCTTTTGGCTATTGTAAATAGTGCTGCCATGAACATGGGTGTGCATATGTCTGTTTTTGTCATGGCTCTCACTTCTTTAGGATGTACACCTAGTAATGGAATGGCTGGGTCAAATGGTATTTCTAGTTCCAATTTTTGAAGGAATCACCACACTGTTTTCCACAATGGCTGTACCATTTTACAGTCCCACCAGCAGTGTATGAGAGTCCCAATCTCTCCACATCCTCACCAGCATTTGTTATTTTCTGTCTTGTTGAACTGTGCTACTAGTGCTGGAGCAAGATGGTACCTCATTGTTGTTTTGATTTGCATCTCTAATAGCTAATGATTGTGAGCATTTATTCATATTTTTGTTGGCTGCCTGAATATTCTCCTTGGTGAAGTGTCTATTCATGTCTTCTGCACATTTTTTAATCAGATTGTTTGTCTTTTTGTTATTGAGGTGTTGGAGTTTTCTATAAATTCTATAGATAAGTCCCTTGTCAGATATGTCATTACCAACTAATTTTTCCCCAATCTGTAGGTTCTGTTTTGACTCTTTTGGAGAAGTCTTTGGAAGCACACAAAAATTTAATCTTTAGAAGGTCCCAATCATCTGGTTTCTCTTCTGCTGTTTATGCATTTTGAGTTATGCTTGATAGTCTATTTATGCCATATATTAGGGCCCTTAAATTTGCCCCTAGTTTTTCCCCATAGTTATAGGAATTTCCCCATAGTTATAGTTTCCCCTATAGTTATAGGAACACTATAGTTTTGGGTTTCACATTTAAGTATTTGATCCATCTCGAGTTCATTTTTGTGAATGGTGTGAGGTACAAATTTTGTTTCATTTTTCTGCAAATGGATCTGCAGTTTTGCCAGCACCATTTATTAAACAAAAATTGTCTTCCTCATTTAATGGATTTTGGCCC